GCACCGTCTAGGTTCACACACTGCTGAGATATCTGTATCGAAAACACCATAAATTGTCAATGTTATAAATGTCTGTGGCACCAATGACACTCAACAAACTGTTGTTACGTCCATGGATCACCGTATTCTTTATTTTTGCGCGCGATGTGATTGTGTCGCGATTATTATATGTACATCGCTTAGATGTGAATACTGTGAAAACAGACTTGACACTTCGCGTGACAATTACTACATATAACGACACTGTCATTAATATATACAAATAAAATAAAATCGATATAACAAAATATACTTCGTCCTTACTGTCAATTTCTTTCATTTAGTGTATTATAGGATCGTCGTAAAAGTCAGACTTACTGGTAGTACATGTTAATTATTTACGTGTCTACTTTGATTTGACGTATTATTTACCATGCCGTTTAGTCGGCGCATGGAAGGTGTTCGGTGTTATTTGCATACTTTACTTTCTATGTCTACAGCAACTATGAGTTTACAATTGTTTCTCAGTATTTATTCACTGTTATGATACACCACTACATTCGGCTTTCACCATACCCGTACAGCCAGATCTGACGGCCTTTGCCGCAAAGTATGGCTACGCTGTGTTGCGTAGATCGACGTGGACGGGTTTCATGCTCCCTGTACGTAATAAGCTCGGTTATTATTATTAAAGTTTTTTTTTTCTTTTGTCTATCTTTAAAGTTAGTGATTGGATTAACGGCTCTAAATCTCGTGATAATATGGCTGCCTTTAGTTCCACTCAAACGATTTATATATCGCCAATGCTATAAAAAATAAATGTTTTATAAGAACACACCAGTGAGACATGACCTTCCTCACTTTTTGTCTACGTTCTCCTGCCATGACGTCAAGGCGTGAATTGTTAGTTAATACACACGAAACACAAACAATTTTCTTTATTGAAGAAAAACAAACTGCAAAAATCAAAGTGCTGGAAAATAATGAACCATATGAATGATTATAAACAGTTTTAATAATATATATATAAATCTCGAAGATACAATATTTAGTAATATGCCATTATAAACAGATTTCTGGTAAATAATATAAAAGTATTCTCTGATATTGAGTCGTGCTATGACGTGCCGTGGGCTGGACAGTTCTGTCTGTAGTAGCGTGCGTGAGTTTGAGACTTGATATTTAGTCTGTAATGAAAAGAAGAAAAATTGTCACATTCAACGTGGCTCCGTTTCCGGTGATGGACTGGTCATCGAACATGATGGCACAGGGACACAGTATTCGAAACAACTACTTCAAGTGATTTAATAAAGTGTTTACATTTAATCATCATTGTTACAGTGGTTACAATACATGAAACATTACTTAATTACAGCTTGAGGATATGTTAATAATGTGGTACGTTGAATGAACTAGTAAATACAAGTACACTGATAATATCTAAACATTTGTTTGGTAGTTGGAGTGACACCCATTTTCAAGCTGTTCTGAGGTCGATTTTTCTTTGCGATGCGCATTTCTGGAAGTTGTCTCCAGAATATCCCAAACATGTGCATTTTGTTAACGTATAAACGTCAAGAAAGGATAGGAAAGTAAGAAATACAACAAAAGGAATCAGAATGTTTGCTGTACTAACTTGAATTAAAGATAACAAAAAAGAACCCTTCTCATAATGCAATAATCAACAATAATAGATCAGATCCCCAGTAGCTGGTATTGCGGGTTGGTATTATGCAAATAACACAAGGATTGTCACGACAATATACCTGTTCAGTTCTGTGATGTTTATTACAACGTTTCGCCCTAGAAATAGGGCTTCTTCAAGAAAACTGTTGTAAAACAAATAGATACAGTGTGTAAATGATTGTGATTGAAATGGTCCAGTGAAAATAACATGATTACAAGTACAATGTATTTACAAAAATAATAATAACACTCCAAAGACTTACCTCTGTTGGGATGCCGTGAGATGTAAATTGGCATAACCCATACAGAGGGTGGAAACCTATTTATAGGTGTAATAGCTAGGTGGCGCTGTTAGATAAATGCGCCCTCACTGGCGGATGTTAATGCCCAGTGGTGTGTGTGTAATCAATTTATCTATCCATTTAGACTCAAGTTTTTTTCTAAGGTGGTCGTCTGTTTTGTTAATTTTTATTATGCCAATAAATGAAATATCGTCTATGTCGTGGTTGGTTTTATTAAAGTGCATGCTACTGGTGTGTCTTGGTTGTGTCTCACTGTCCATAGGTGGTTATTAAATCTGGTTCTGAGCTCCGTCTTTGTTTCGCCAACGTATTGTTTTTGACATCGTTTGCACGTGATGAGATAAATGACATTTCTAGTTGTGCAAGAGATGGGGTGCTTTGTGGTATATACTTTGTTATTTGTGGTGCTATGGAAATTGGTATTATTGGGTGAAAATTTGCAAACATTGCAACCCCTCTTAGAGCCGCATTTTGTGAAACCAGATGGGAGAGTTGGGTTTTTAGTTGGCTGTGAACAAGAATGTCCCGGAGATTTTTGCTGCGACTGTATGAAATTAAAGGTGGTTGTGATATGGCATTTTTGCAACGTGGCGAGTTTTGTTTTTGACAAGGAAATAAGAGAACAGGAAGTAAGTCAGCTGCATTATAAGACAATTTTACGCCAATTAGCATAAATAATTGCAACAAAGATCGCATCATAGGAAATGCCCCGGTTTCCTATCTTTCTCCAGAGCCAAGGGTTAAAGAGAGGATTTATCATTTACTTACCCTGGCGAGATATACACGAATCACAAACATTTCACTGTTATTACTATCTCTCGGTTAAACAGCGCCATCATGCGCCAACATCAGGCACACACAACAAGGTAACCCTAAAAAAGGGATTAAGCAGAAAAACAAATTAATTTCTTTCCAAAACAGATATACTAGCTCGCTTTTGAAGATGGCGTACACATGCGAAGCACTTTTTACGTAACCCTGCCGAACAACAATGCAGTAAACGCGAAACTTGCAGGCGCAGATGCCCCCTCCTCAAAAAGGGGTAAAAGAAAGTAACCTCATAGTAGCTGCTAATATACTGTAGAAGGTAAAACAGAAGACACGACAGGGTACAAGTACAAGAGTGTTACCTGCAAGTCCAAGTTTCACTAGGAGTACTGATTATAGCCCCCGTAGCCGACGTATGCAAAGGAAAAATGGGACGTTAAGGCAGCTGACGAACATCTACAACTATCGGCGCAAATCCACAATTCAAAATGTGCGCCTCTCTTCGTCGTATGTTATAAAATTCGGCAATGGTTCCGCAATATACCAGGGCGGCAGTCTGGCGATATTTAGAGCAGGTAGTTCATTTTCGGGCGTTGGTGGCAGTGTGTATGGTAGTGGAGTCGGAGTACGCCGAGTAGGTGACGGGTTGTCTGGGCGGAATAGGGATACGTCATCGCTGCCTACTAGTAGATTATCGTTTTCGTCATCTCCGTCTTCAATACGACATTCGTTGTTTAGGTGAATTTCTTGAACTTTTGTCTCGCGTCCTATCAAGCGACGGAATAACGACCTCAGTGTCTTTCTCAAACCTCCTTTGGGTTTCTTCTCCTGGTTGGCACAAAACGCCTTTGCGGATCGGACGCATGTTGGTGCTGTCGGCGTTGGAGCTTCGTCGTAGTCCGGCGCCATGTCCACTTTATTTGATGCGCGCATGCAGCATAGAAACATCGTGATGATTCAGTTTTCACAAATAAATGTTGAATTATATTGAGAGTATAGCAAGCGATGTGTTCTCACTTGTAAAATGTACTTTGTATTGTCGCGTTCTGCGTTCGAAATGGAACACAGTAGCTTGAATGCAGCGCGGATGACGTAACATGATTGTCTCTAGCAAGTCACGTGATATACGTAGTTGCCGGGCTACAATAAAAAACAAAAGCATGCCACATAACCTCCGATAGGGGGCTAGCGAAACTGAACGATTGCTCATCCCCACTCGGGGCATCACCATCAGCATCCCGAGTTCCAGCAACGCGATTCCTTTACTAAAATAGAGTAACAGGAGCAAGCAAAAATACTGTCCTGAATTTATTTACCTACTCGGAGAAACAAAATCCGATTTGGATAAACGGAAAAAGTCAACCACAGTGACAAAGTAATTGTTATGCATTATTTTATATTCAATATTATGTTCTATATTTGGTTTTTTTTATTTACTGGCAAAATCCCAACTGTGTGATCATAGAATTGGAATCGCACCTTTTGTTTCCCAATAAGCTGTATAAACGCAGCCATAGTGATAATCATGCGTTTCCTGCGTGTGCCAATTGTGACAAAATGGCGTGGCTGTCAGTGCTTCCTGCTATTACTTTCTTGGCTGTTATCTGCCTGGTTGCTGATAGCAACGAAGCCAGAACTCTCGAACTTGTTAATCTGGTAGGTCATTGTCAGCACAGTAGATATGTGCCTTCCGTGACTCAGAACTACACGTCGATGAGTCACCGTTAGTCAGAAGCTGTGTTATGTGGCGTCACTTGTGACTTGGCAGCCAACTGCGGGCGTCCGATGTGACAACACAAACTTATGAAGCAAATGACATTGCCGTAATTTCTGTGGCAGGTTTAAGTTCTCAGCTTGTCAACCGCTTTACAACTTAAAAATACGTCACCGACGCAAATTTCACGTATTAAAGTTACGATAAAGTTGCGGTTTTAAAAAAAATAGGCAGTATTCGTTTTGGGATTCGTTTCCAATACTGAGATTGAAAGCGAAACCAGTTAGAGTCACGTGATTAATTGTTTATGGGGTATTACTTAGGTTGGAGCATGGAAGGTAATACCTTCCATGGTTGGAGAGGGGGTGTGATGTCAATATCACAACTGCGCGTGCACATTGAG